GGAAAAGGGGGCATTAAATTTTTTTGTGTGTGTGTTCATGTGTGATACAAACTATAGAATTGCTCAGGATTTACAATTCTGTTAGATGAATCAGGATTCAGACCACTAGCTTTCAGGAATACAGCTTCTGTAAATCATCTGTGGACCTGCTCCCTCTGTAACAGCTCTGTAGAATTGAATTTGACTGGGGATTGGTTTGTAGCAAACCAAAGGCTGCTATATCAGCTGAAAATCATTTCCCTTGTGTAGCTGGTTGAAGGGTCCTATCATGAGAATCCTTAGGAAAAACATCAAATAAGGATTTGAGGTATGTACAGTCTCAATTTATAGCATCTTTTTAAAAAGCTTCAGTGGATTAGAACATTTTATCACCCTATCTGCTTGCTGTAGCTTCTTTTTCCCCCACTTGGAAATGTCTTGAATATTCTGTACCTTCATAAGTAGCCTTTCTTGGAAGACTCATGAACAGGCATATCTTTCACTAATATGTTTTTCAATAGGTTTGTTGTAAAGGATAATACTTTCTCCCACATTGTTTAATTATTATATTAATACAATGAATGGACAATGTTTATACCACTACATTGTTTAATGTAAGTTATGCTAATATGACTAATTTATGGAAAGTTTGTGGTTAAATATGTTAATGTTGCATTGAAAGGTTTATTACTTTGGAGATTGGGTCTGTATGTTGTTCTTTACTGAGTTAATATGGGTAGGCTGAAACTTCTACTCTGAGTAAAGGTTTAAAGCAGAGACTTGCAGCTGTAACACCTCTGAAGTCTAGTAAAGTTAGGTACAAGATAGCAGGTGTAAGTCTACTAACACTTGCTTTAATTTGTTACCTTTTCCGCACCTTCTGAAATAATTTGTAGGCTCTAGAGGCTGACATCCAGGGGATCGTTTTTGTTAACTGGTGTGTGCTGGGTTAGACATGGCTAACAGCCAAATTCCCACCCAGCTGCTTGCTTCTGCCACCACCACCACCGTGTTCCCCCCCCTCCCTGCCCCATAAGGCAGAGGGATAAAATGGGAAAAACAGTAACACTAAAACAATAGGTTGAGATGATAACAGGGGAATTGCTTACCAATTATGGTTTCGGGCAAAACAGACTCTACTTGGAGAAAATGAATTAATTTATTGCCAATTAAAATTGATTCAGGTAGTGAGAAACAAACTCAAACATTAAAACAGCACGCCTTTCCTCCCCCCTCTCCCAGGCTCAGCTTCGTTCCTTCACTCCAGAGTCCCCAAACCACATACCCTACCCCAGCCCTGCAAGCTTACATGGAGGATGGCAGGGGGGTGGCAGTCAGTACATAGTGGTATCTCTCTGCCACTCCTTCCTCCTCACATCTTTGCTTTGCTCTGGTGTGGACTCTCCGTGGGCTGCAGTTCCTTCAGGAGTATCCTTGTGCTCCACTGTGGGGGGTCCTCTATAGGCTGCAGGGGATATCTGCTCTGCCATGGAGCTGTTTCTCCTTCTCTTTTCTCTGACTTTGGTGATCCCTTTCTTAAACATGTTTTCCCAGAGGTGCCCCCAGCTTGGCTGAGGACCTCAGCTGTGCTCTGTGGTGGGTCTGTTGGAGCTGGCTGTGTACCACACAGGGCAGCCCCTGGCCTCTTCCCTCAGTGGCCAACCCTGCAGTCCCCTGTCTGCCAACAGCTTGCCATGTAAACCCTGAACACAGAGTTAGTAAGATACTAAGAACACAGTTTATTTTCTGGATCGTGAAGTTCTGTTCCCTGCTATTACTGTCACATGCCATATAGCCCTTTCAAAAGCTTATAGAGAAATTTTAAAAGGTGTCTAAAGTAAGGAAGTACTCCCTAAGTTGCTGCTTGTCCAAAAATAGTAAGCTTAGAACATACAAAAGATGTTAAGAACTTTTTTAATGAAATAAAAAGGGTATGTGTGATAAGGAGTATCAAGTGTCACAATTTTACTTATGGGTATCCTAGAACAGGGCTTGTTTTTGTGGAGCATGTCCTCTAGCTTTCCTCAGCTAGAGGAACAGGCTAACATGACGCCTACCTGTGAGTGGGAGATCCTAATGCAAATACAAAAGAAAAGAAAAATTCCAAGAAATATTCATAGAATTAGTTAGCACTGTTTGAAGAATAGGGGAAGAGACAACAAGCAGAATGTGGTGTCATTTACTTGTTAATGTAAACTAACCTGACTCATAAGAGTGTGTATACTCTACAGTGTATCATTTTTCTGGGATTACACAAACTTGCTGGTGTTCAGGAATTTATAAATAGTCAACATTTCTGAAAAGTGTCTATGAAAGATAATGCTGATGAAAAACACTGTTAACCTTATCACAATTAATGTCAGGGGGGTTTGCCTGCAGTTTAGAGTAACTAATAGTCTCTGGCAATAATTTTTTTTTTCTTTTTTTCCAACTACCTATCTAGTTGCCAGAAAAATACCTGTTGAACAAAAATGTTTTGACTGGTTTTGTCTGATACAGGAAGAAAAGAGGAATTGTGACTGGAACAATAAACACTCGTTACAGTACTTAATAGGCAGATGAGCCTCATACAGAGGTGAAAGTTCAAGTTCAGTTACCAACCAGCAGAACTTTTTCTCCTTTCAATATATATGCACCAATTTCTATTTGCATGTGGCTTGTGTTGCTTTCATCAAGAAAGACTAGTAAGATAGCTAAGGGAACTTGTGTAGCAGTAACGGTCTTTAATGAAAGCTAGTTGAAGGAAATGGAAACCAAAGGCTGTGTGACTACTCTGTTCCCCCTTTTTACTACTGACTTATTTTTTCACCTTTTACAGGGTGTGGTAAAATACACACTATTAATTTTTCTGGGACTAGTAAATACACGCTTTTCTATTCAGTTATGCTTTGGTCAGTGTAGTCTAATACAGTCTGCCTCTTGCATTCATGTGGTTGCTATTCTTACCAGAATAGCAGCTTGGCCTATGTTGCCGGCCTGTGCATGCCAAGAGCCTGGTATGATAGCTAGAATCTGTAGCTGGGGCCAGCTACATTTTCCTCATTCACGTGTTTTAGTTCATTTTAGCTGGCATCCTCATTCTAGAAATATTACTGATATTGTCCAGCTGCTTACATGAGTAATCTGTCAATAGAGGAAGCAAGAGTAACATTTTGTAGATGGCTCATTTTGCAGATGGGCATTTAATAAGCAAATACTTAACCTTGTCTTGTGTGTGCTTCTTTCTATTAAGAAAAGAAAATACTGTTGCCATTTCTCGTAACTCACAAGTCATCAAGCTTGTGAAGAATGGTTGCTACATAGCTCAACCTTGATATCTGAGGTGCTTAACTTACTTGGTCTCCATTATTTCAGGAGACTTTACTTTTAAATTATCTTCTGCATCTCTGGACTTCCCTGGTTATAGTATGACTGCGTAACAGTAAATTTAATGAGTTATATTTTTCCTACAATCTCCACTATGGATTCAGTTATTTTTGTTTGGTGATAACTGTAGGTAATAGCTGTTTCTTTCAAAAAAGGTCCTAATCAATTCCAGGCAGGAGGAGGTAGTTTTATGGAGATCATCAGAATATCTTCACGAGCTGACATATTAAATATCCTGTCTCAGTTTTTATGCTTTTCTTGGGGTTTGCTTGCTGTTTATGTGAAAAGGAATAACAGAGCCTCTCTTGCATATTGGAATAAAAAAATGCAAGTTAAAAATTCTCAGTAAGACAAAGATAGTAGCCTTGCTTTTGGGGCTTGCAGTTGATATTTTCCATCAACAGTAATGCCCAATGTAAACTCTAGCCTGAGAGGCCTCGAAGGTTACTTCTTTTCGAGATACCTCACAGTTTGTGTGATTATTGCATGGCTTTCTAGACTGGAGAAGACAAGACTTGGTGAACCAGGTGGTCTGTTATGCTTAATGTTTCAAATGATTAAGACAACATATACTTGATATAAAAAGCTGTCTGTGAGCAAATTAATTGAATGGCTCTCAGTTGGAAATGTGACAACTGACGTATGTACTTAGGCACTCAGTAAAAATCAGTTTTTCAAATGTAATTTCGTTTGGTGTTACATATGCTATTATCTTTGAACCTCTGAGCAGTACATCTGTTCCAGGGTTCTCAGACCTCTTGACCTTGGGACCTGACACATTTGCTAGAGAACTTGAGAGGAATTTGTCTTTTGGAAGATAATAGATTCAAGGAGGCTTGTAGACTTCTTGCTCAAATCTAGAAACTGCTGAGACATCCAGGATTCTGGGGAGAGGATTTTTGTGCTGCTTTCAAAAGCACAAGAATGCTATTATCCTTCTGGGTTTGGAGGAGAGTACCCTGTCCCCAAAACCGATGATACGTTGCATTTTCTTCCAATTTGTGAGATCTCCTTATCTGCTTTTAGGAGCCTACTGCAGTGGTGTGATGCTTATTCCAAATTTTGATCTTTGTTTTTGAATATAGAGAGAAACTTTACTCATACAAATTTTTTACCTTTTTTCTCTTGTAGTGGTATATTTAGGCATCTTAGATGTTTGGATTCATTTTTTTTAAATGTAATTCAACTTCACATCTGAATATTCTGCTTTTCTCTCACCTTTGTTCCCCCCCATAGTTCAAGTGGAAGAACAAATTTGTTGACTTACTTTTCTCGCTGCACTGAGCCATCCCATAGATGGAAGATTGAGGTCATAGATTTTTCATATGGTCGGGTTGTTTCAATTTTGCTGATGCAAAAGTGTTGAAGAAAGCTGGGTACAATTTCAGGCTTTAGTAGTGTGAGACAAAAAAGGATGCGGGGGCCTGCTATTTGAAGAATAATAAGTAGTGTGATTCTAGGCCTACAAATTGCTCATGAAAGTTTGCTTCCCTTTCTTGAAAGCTTGCTGAGTCAGACATGGCAATATCCTGAATAGGACACTACTGCTGGTTTGAACATTTTGTCCTATGTCTTCCTAGCCATTGCGTACTCCTAGAACCCATTTTTTTTTGTCTCCAAGTATTCCTTCAGTATATTTATCCCTTTAACAGATCTTTCAGATACGAAAGTATGGTTGCATCAATTTTACAATGAGAAAGTGCATCATCTATGGTAAGTAACTTGCCCAAGGCCACACATGAATTCTTCCTAGATGGGAATTGGACTCTTATCTCTTTGATTCTAGGCTAGGTATTACTTCAACATGCACTAGTTATAGAGAGATTTCTAATTTTAAATTACAGATGGAAAACCCAGCCCTTCTCCCTCTCTAAGGATCTCTACATCAAGGATGAGGGAAAATCTATTTGTAATTAGTCACAGGCCCTCATTTTCCTAGTGGATAAGCTTTCTTTTATTTTTTCTTTTCATGAGAGTAGAGATATTACATGTTACAAGAAACAGTTACTGACTAAAGACTTTTAAATAACCAAACACTACATTTAGATTCAAACAAATTTAATTTAAAAATATTTTTTTTCTGTCCCATTTACAAATCTTACTGAAATAAGTGTTTTCTCACATGCCACGGAAAAACTGAAAGCCTTGACACAAATATCTAATGTTATAGATGAAATATGGTCTTTGGGTGCTGTTCTTGATTTTGTTTTGAGGATATCTTGCTGCTGCAAGACCTTGTTTTATTATTCTTGTTTCTCTAGTATCCAGTATTTAAGACTACAATGTGTGTAGTCCTCCCTTTCTTCTCACCCCTTGCAAAAAACCTGACTTGATTCAGGACTCTGGGAAGAGGTTGAAAGTTTCACTTAATCGCTGGAGAAGTTACCTTAATGTGATATACTACTAAAGAACTCTTTGACATTAAAAGATTAAACTGTTATTTTTTTTTGAATTACATAGAAAACATTTTAAGAGGGAAAGACCCTCCCAAGTTTCGCTAGGGAAGGGACTTGTCTTCATGGAAGTATTACACGGACTGATACAAGTAAGGTATGTGATTTGTTTGCTTTCTGTGAGAGGTAAAGAATGGTGACTTTTCATAGGCTGTATTAGCACTATGAAGTAATTGAGTCCTGTCCATTTTCAGTAGCTCAGTTCTGAGTGATATTCAGTGTTCAGTGTCTTGACAAGCCCACTCCAGTGAGCAACATAGCTTCAATTTAAAGCAGCATCTAAACTGTGCAGAAGATGCTCATGTTGCACCTGCCTAGCAGGGTAGAGTAAGTACTCCAGTTACAACTTGGTGTTGCTCTCTGAAGCCTATTCCTGGAGAAGGGGTAAGTGAGATTGCCTATGGTATGGTAACTTTTATTGTGGGGAAAAAAATTAGTTTGAAATTGAGTTCTAATATTTGTCCCATTTACAAATTTTCATTTTTAGAATTATTTTTCTAACAGGATTGTTACTTTCCCCCACTCTCTGTAGTCATCATTGTTCACAGTTTGTTTATCAATTTTTTTTAAATCTACATGGTTCAACAGTTATTTGAAAATACTTATTATCGTTTAAAGATGGTAGTGTCATGTCTTTTGGTTTCTAATGACTTCACTTTACTATTGCTGTTAAAGGAAGGAAATCCCTTATGACTGTCTAACCTTTTCTACAGCCTGCAGTGACACGCTTGATGTGTTCATGTGCATTCTTCTGCTAATACTGTCCATGTTTAATTAGTCCTGCCACTTTACAAAACTGCACTTAAAGTACTTTTAATAGATGGCAAGTGTATAAAAAGCCCTTTGTCTTCCATCTTCTGCATCCTTTTTTTAATGTCCAGCCAGAATTTTTCCTAAAATCATGGGATTTTACCATATATTTAAATGCTGCTGCATTCTCCTTTTTACTCCCACCCTATTGTATTTTATAATGGTCTGGGAGAAATGGATCATAGTTCAGCAATTAAAATAGCAGTTTTAGGGAGAGCTTCAACAAAACTGGTTGTTCATTTACATGGGAGTGGATCTGTGTAGTTGTTCCCCACGGCTCTGTTTAGCTTCTTATAATGGGATAGCTTATTCTGTGGCAAAAATACCACAGCAAAATATGTTTGCATGTAGACCAGCATTGAACTGTTTTCTGAAGTCATATTTATCTAGATTGAGTTTTTGTTTTCTAAATACGAAATGAGGTGATGTCTATTCAGAATGTTTCCAGTATTAACTTCAGCTTGTGAGGGTTCTATAGTCAGTTCCTAAACTAAGAATTACAGAACAGGAGCTAAATGGCTTTGAGTGTAATTTATAAAAAGTTAGTAAAAACTGTATCACAACTGTAGGATGTGCTCTCATTCATTATTAGAAATCTCAGATGCAGGGATTTTGTATTTTAGAATCATCCTATCTAATGCATAAACAATACTGAGAATGAAACGCCCCTGAGCTGTGGAGTCAGCCTCTTATTCTTACTGTAGAAATCTTGCATTCCTGTCTGTGGTGGTAGAAATTCAGGTCTGTAGAGCTTTGCCTGTAGCCTTGTGATTAGGTCAGTCTGATGTGGAAACATTGGGTTTGGTTATTGGTAGGTAGAGCAGATCCTGAAACCTAGTGTGGGGTTTCTTGGGGTGCCTTGACCTCAGTATTGATAGTCATATATGTATGGAATTACATCCAGAACAGGTGGACTTCTGTCATCTTCTCCTCGAATATATACACAGATTTCCATGTGCTTAGGTGCTCCTTGTCTAACTTGTTTGCAGAATTTATTCCTGAACTGGACAATACAGTAAGGTCCCTTATGAATAATTTTCACATTTTTCTTTTGTACAGAAATTTGTCCAATTTGATCTCAGCGGAAGGAAATTTTTAGAAGTTAAAAAAAAAAAATCAATTTTTTCAAATGGTGAAAAAGCACTTCTCTGAGGACACTTGAATAATAATTCTCAGGTTCTCTAGCTTGTTGTACAGTGAAATTAGGTGTTCATATGCTTGGGCGGGGGGGGGGGGAGCCAGATGACCTCCAGAGGTCCCTTCCAACCTCAACCACTCTGTGATTCTGTATAGATTGCATCTCGGTTTTATCCATACTAGATCATCCTGTATGGCTTAGCATTCTGGTGGTCAGAAGATGTCTTGAGTAGTTGTTGAGCAACTTTGCATTCCTTTATCATACTGGCTCCAGTTCTCTTCTAATTATATTGAAGTTTTCTGTCTTAAGAGTTGCTGCAGATTTTTCTTCTAATATTTTAAATGATACAGTAGCTCAAGGATTATGCTTGGTACTTGTTCCTAATAGTAATGTATATGGCAACCATCTTCAAAAAAATAGCAGGCTGGCTTTCTTAATCTCTCTCATATGGGTTTCAAGTATGCAAAATGCTATATTTGGTTTTAATATTTCAGTAACGTTTATGCCACTTGCTTTTCTAAGTATGGGTTTCTGTACTGTCTGAAAATGTTGCGTTTATATTATTTTTGGACTATTGATTCATTATTATTCTGGCTATTCATCTATTTTGGCATTTAGTTTGCAGTTTCTTCTTTTCAGAGAAAATGGCCAGTTTGCTAGTTGACTATCTCATAATATCTCAAGGTTTTGTGTATTGCTTCTTTTCTATGTTACAGCAGTACTTTTTGTGTTCCTTCATACACCACTTCATTCAGCACCTGAAAAAGATTTGTGAATAAGACTCAGCTTTACTTCTAGATTTCTGTATGTTTACTCAGCAGCCCACTTGTCATATACTGGGATGCTCAATCTGTGACCTGCAGATAATTCAACCAGTGCAGACCCGAGTCTTTAAGAGAGCATGGGCCAGAGAAATTGTTGGTGCAGCAGCCTCCTCCTGGCTGATAACCCGTGATCACCACCAGTCCTAGCATTTATGTACACATTATGTTCATTTTGTTAATAGACACATCATGTGTATGGCTTGTGTACAGAACAGTTGTGATGCATGTGTGCAGTAGGTCCATGATGAGGCCACAGCATGAAACATTTTAGTGGCCTGTCCCATCTGAAAACTCAGGGAATCAGTTCCAGGCATCCAGTTTTGCATTGGGAAATTCTGAGGAAAGCAATCATATAAACTGTATGGCTTTTCTGCAGAATCTGCTGTCGAGCACCAGTTCCATTGATTCTACAGATATAAAGAAACTGATGAATAGATGTAAAAATAACATCCGTTGGTCACTGTAAGTGGTCACTGTAGCAGTCACTGCTGTTCTAGTGGTACAAATTTGCTTCTGTCTGTATCTCTGAAAAGAAACAGAAATATAAGATTGACACATTTAAAGCATAAAACTTCTTAACCTTATCCCAAGCCAAGTTTTTCATTTATGTTAATTGATGAGTCTGTGTGACCTGAGATCCTCAGTGGGTAGATCTGTTTTCTCCTTGTGACTCTATTGGAAAGAATGCACTAGAATTTGTAATGGCTTAGTGCAAGCCATGGTTGCTATTACTGGAGTCTGGGCTTCAGACTCAACACCATGACGTTTGGTGCAAAACGATGCTTTTACTTAAACAATGGAAGCAAATGACTCTGTTCTTAATGCTACCAGGGTAAGACTTGTAGTAATGTGGACTGTAAATAAAAATAGCAATATAACCAAATATCATGGTAAATGAGTCAATACTAACAAGGATCAAAGTGAGTAGCTGTATAAACCTATGTAACTTGACAGCTGCTGGCCTAGTAGAAGTCTTAGATCAGCAGTGGCTTGTTTGCTTTCTTGGCAGAATCAACAATTAAAAGCAGCTCAGTGTGTATATCTTATAAGATTTCCCTGAGTTAGGTGGTAACTACTATTAATTTTCTGTTAATTATATCGGCGGGGGGAGGGGGAATCCTTTATTTCAAAATCAGTCTTAAGTACAACCATGAGTAAACACTCAGATTTGTTGGTGACTCTGGTACAGAAAATAAATGGTCTGCTACCACTTCACAGATCGATACTCTCTCAGTTCACATGCTACTAATAAATGACTTCTCCCACGTTAGGAGGCAGAGGTTTTCCTGCCATATAAAGCTGTTACTGTCCTTTATTTTGCCATTAAAAAAACCCTCTAGTTCATAGTTTCTCTTTCTTTAGTTTTCCCTTTTTCTTAGTGTATTATTATTTGAAATACATAATACATAAATAAGAAATTTTTTTCTCCTGAAATAGTTTAAAAGCATGGTCAGAATTCATCGTAGATGATGACCTCAACATTATGAATGTCTATATATGTTGTATTTAAACACTGCTGAAGAGAAAGACTTGATGGGGGTGACTTACAGGAAGAATAAAAGTTGCCATGGAAGTTGGACTTGTACTACCATCCTTTAAGCAATTTCTTTCACTTCTAAACATTATGTGAAGGTCTGATAAATATTTGAAGAAAGAACGATACATCTGACCCCCAGTAAAAAAAATGCTATGCTGTTTTTGGTATTTGGAGGCATGCATTTCACAGGTGTAAAAACTTGCAGGCAGTCTGGATTCTGAAGCTTTGTTCTTCCTGTGCTTTAATGGACTTAGAGCTGTCTTCACTGGATGGCCAATGGTGCACTGATATGGGTGTGAATGTTCAGGCAAGGTCCACCTGCTGAGAAATAATCTCAGTTTGAAACAATGGACTTTGGGAAGTTTTTTCATTGGTCTTGTGGACCAGTGAGGTTGTGTTGCTTCTTTACCTGTAATATTTATCTCCTAGTTGATGAAAGCACTGCCTTTAGATACTGTTTTGCTATCTTCATGCAGGGAGTTAATCCAAACAAAATGCAAGATGATGTATTTTGCATATCATTATGGTGTGGTGGGGTTAATCAGCGACATGTGCTTATATAGTATTTTTCTGTGAAACTTTTTCATTGACCAGTGAGAAGTCATGAATGATTTTGGGGGCTGGAAGGATGGCGAGCAGGATCTGATGTTAGTTTCAGCAGTGAATATATGCTCTGTTGTATTGTGGTGAGGAAAGGACAGAGAACACGCATTACAGTTGAGACTAGCCCCACAAAACACATGGTATGTTTAGAAGATCCTGGTCCACATCACTGTACTGCCTTGTCTGAAGCAGAAGCTCAAGCTCTGGTCTAGCACAATGGTTTTCATGGTGTGTTCTTTCATTCAGCTGTTATTGCAGACTCATGAAAGCCAATGCTGAGAAGTGTGTTGTTAGAAGGCTAGAGGTCTGCATATGCAGTAGAGACGTCTCAGGGATCCACAGATTTAAAAAGCTGAAAATTGCCTGGTTGTTTTCCATATCCCAACTTGGGCCTTAACTAGAATATTGAATGGCCTCATAGATGCTCTGGATGTTCTTTTTAATTTATGAGAGGTTGCGTGTTTATTCCGGTGAGGAATGGGAAGAACTGCGAAATTTACACAGAGGCTTAGAAACCATTAACCATCCAACACTGACTCAGTATGCAAAATTATTCTCAGAGAGGTGTTGTGTTATTAGTACAAAGAAAATTGTTAGTGGCAAATTCAGCTGTTACACAAGTGGAATCCTGTGTATGTCATGTAACCACATCTGTTCTGTATTGGTTTTGTCTATGAATCAAATGTGAGAACTGCTCTAAATTGGTACCTTTTGTTTGAAATATACCTGAACTTGTTTCATAAATTTATCCTGTATGTAGAACCTGAAAATAACCTGAAAAAATGCAAACTTGGGGACTAATTAAAAGAAGAAAAAGATGTAGCCATTAGAAAACAAATGTTTATCTTTTCTTTTTAGGTCAGAAGACTTGTCTCCACTTACATGGTATCTTTCCTTACCTCTATGTACCATATGATGGTTTTGGACAGCATCCAGAATACTATCTTCGTCAAGTGGCATTCAGCATTGACAGAGCACTTAATGTTGCTTTAGGCAATCCGTCTTCTACTATTCAACATGTTTTCAAAGTGTCATTAGTATCTGGAATGTAAGTATGACCTGTTAGCATTTTTGCTTATTTGTTTTTAAATATTTTTGCAGTTGTACTACATAGAAGCACTTACTATGGACTTGGGTAACTGCAGTGCTTTTCCTTTTTCTTTTCCCCCATGTGTGTCTTCATACAGGCCTGTACAACTACTAAATAACTCTTCTCACTTGCTTTGACTTTAACATAATCAACAGGTTTTCCCCCAAATGCTTGACACAACCATTTTTTCCTAAACTTGGATCCCAGTATCTATCATTTATCCAAATCTGTTCCTTTTAGCTTTTTCTGTCTCTGCTATTACAGCAGTACTTTCCAGCCAGCATTTTCTACGTGTCTGGGTTATTCTAGGTTCCCTGTGACCAGGCATGTCTTGCAGGACCCTGACTCTAGGCCTCCTTTTCTTTGTTTGTCTAAGATGGCCCCTTTAGGAAGCATATCACAGAGACTGTCAGGTCATGTTTATCCATCTGATTCTCCCAGCAGCACAGGCCATGAAGTGGAGGCTCTTAAACATTAATTTACTTCTGACAAGCTGACTGTTCTGTTTTATTTGGTGTAGCTTTCTACTGCTGCTGGAACTATATGCTATTATTGCACGTTAACATTTTAAGGATTTTCTTAATCAATTTTTATTTAACTTGCATAACCAAGGACTGAAAAATAATGTCAGATCATACTAAATAATAGGAAGCTGTCCTGGAGGAACACAGTCTACACATGCATTGAATTTTTCATCTTCAAAACAATGTAAATGCTAATTTTCACTACTGTGCAGCACTATCTTTTACTTATCTTTTTTTCATGCACTTTTGCAATATGTTCTTTCTGACTGTTAAGTTTAGGAAGATAATCTTTCTGTTCCCAGCCAGTTTTAGTGGTATCTTCCAGATGCTGCTAGTAAAGTGGCTGCAATAACTTCTTTTCATTTTTAATCAGAACTTTCTGATGTGTTTTTGTAGTAACAAAGAAGGTAACACACCAAATCTATTTTTGTTCCTTCTGTGAGAGCTACGTGAATTGTAGTATAGCTCTTCATCTCAACAGTGAAAGCTGCGTGGAGTAGACTGTTGAAGACAGTCTTTCATCGAATCAGTGAGAAAACAACAGATGGAGAGTAGGAGAACCTGCCTCTTTTTCACCTTTCTTGCCTTAGAGCTTCAAAACAGTCATTACTGAAAGTCAGATGCTCATTGCCTCAAAGAAGCATAGAAAAGTGTTTCATGTATTTTGTTTGCTTGCGTAAGAGGCTAATGGGAGGCACCTAACAGAAACTGTAATACATCTTCACCTGGGAGATAGACATGCTTATGTAGTCACACAAATTTGTTTCTTCTGTTCTGACCTGAGTCAGATTCTGCTTATAGATACTACAGTGTCTCTTTGGTGAGAAACCTGTATTTTTCTTTAAATCTTGGAGATTGTCTTCTCTTCTCTTCTGCATTAGCAGGAAGATTGTTATGTCATACAAGATTTTTGTTGCATTAACTTCCAAACATAGTGGAGAGCCAGGAATACAAAAGAGGCAAAATATGCTGTTCTTGTGCATTGTGAAGTTAAAGTAGGTGTTCATAGCTAACCTTGGAAGTGTTGTAAATCTTGCTTTCCCTGCTGCCTTGTCAATGTGAGTATGGATCACTTGCCATGCAAGTGCTGGGTTTTTTTTTTTAAAGTAGCTTTTAATTTGCATGCCTGCAGCACATTGAGTCATTATAACTCAATGTTTATAACCTGTCACTAGGTTTATACTATCTCTATAAGAAAGAGATTGATTCATTATACAAGATCTGATCTCCTCCTTTTCAGCTTAACAGCTTTAAGTTTGTTGTTTCAACTTAGCTCAGTTTTAACATCATAACTTTTTTTTTTTAAACAGTCAGTCTAGCTTTTGGTGATATTAAATGTGTACACATTTAACCATATTAAGGATAGCAGTATTAATGCTGTAGTTGTGCAGTCCTGCTGAGTTTGCATTTAATTTAGGACTGAAATCACTCTTACTTCTGAACTTCATTTTGACTTAACTGGTAAGTATCCCAGTTGCATTTTTTTAATAATATTTTTGATGAAGAGATTTTATTTTATTTTGTAGAGGTAACATTTAAATGTATGCTTTCCTGAATTTCTGTTGACTTTGGTTGTGATTACCACAAACTGTAGACTTCTTGCATTCACCTGATGTGTTGAATTATGGCCTCTTCCCTTAACATGCTGTTCTACAAGCATGTTAGATTAGATTAGAATTCTAGATGCTGAAAAGTCAGTAATTCACTCAAGTAATACCAGAATTAATGCTGCCTGTTCAACCTCAGTTTAGTCTTGACATATTCATTATGCTATGTATTCTTTAATTGCATTCTCAAATCCTATTTTCTTCAGGATTCATGCCTCATTTAGTGCATGAGATGATTAGTAATCACCGAAAAGGGGCAGCTGAAGTGGATCTCATTGTTCAGTTATTTGTATTACACAGCCAGTATTTACTCATTTACACCTGATCTGCAGAATTTATGTCCTTGAGGACTTTGTTACAGCATTTATCAAAAAGGCTGAACGCTGTTTTTGAAGCAGTCCAGCACTAGTAAATTTATTAAAAGTACTATTGTGATGGTATGCCATGAGGGGAAAGTGAGAAACAATGTTAAGCCAGAATTGTCTTCTAATTTTCTCTTTTTTTTAGATACTTTGACATGCATAGGGCCTATTCTTTTTATCTTTATATAGTAACTTAGTGGTCCCCTTTGGCCTGACACATGGGAATTTTCATTCTCCTGGATATGCAGTTTATCTTCTAATTTTTCTCCCCTGCATTTTAATACTTGTTATAGTAAAATGTGGTTGAATAAATGCCACAGCGTAACTGGCTAGCTTCTTGCTTTTACTTCTTCCTCTCCAGGCCTTTTTATGGTTACCATGAAAAGGAGAGACAGTTTATGAAGATTTATCTTTACAATCCTGCAATGGTAAAAAGGTAAGGATGTGGTGATACAAAGTTGTGGCTGATTTCCTTATAACTTGAATTAAAAAGTAAATTTTGAAGCAGGATTCACCTACATCTTAGCAAAATAAAAGCAACAAAACTATTGTCCAAACTTTTCAAAACACATAAGAAAATTGCTAATTTTAAGCACACCAATAATCTTTTTAAAGTAGTAGCACATTAGGAAAGCGAGACCGAAGTATGCTTGTGTTTAGTTGTCTTGTATAAACTGTAATTCTTGAACACTTGAACAAATTTGCATCAGGTTACTTTTCCTGTAACTCTTAAGGAAAACAATGTACTCGTTTGTATGTTATGAAGTAGATTTTGGTAGTTTTTAAGTTTTTAAATTCCAGCACCAATTATTAAATTTAAAATATACTTGGAAAACTGGGTAGTTTTTGTTATTAGACAGTTTCTCTGTTTCTCAATAGAGTAATGTTCTGTTAGATGAAAGCACGGTTGATCTCAGTCTTACTGTCACAATAGTTGCAGTAAATTCAGGAATAAGTAAGGAGGAATTATTTCTCAGGCATAAACTGAAATGCCTTGAGTGTGTAGTATTACCTATTGTAACTGGTTTTCTAAAGATCTAATATGTGATCATAAGATAGGATTGTCTGGTTTTTGTTCTAGGCTAGTAAAATTTTGCATGATTTTAAATTTGTGTCTTTAATCTATATGCATATGTGACGTTACAGTTGTTTCGAACTTTGGAGCTTCTCATGTTTGAATTACTCCTATCGGAATAAGGAAGGACTGACACTTCACTTAAATGATTTCTTTAATTTTTCTGTATAAAATGTTATTTTTTGAACCTAATTTGTTGCATTTAGAAATGCTTACTGCTTTTCTTTGATTTAGATATATCCTGTTACTTTGAGATAAATTTATTGCACCAATTTATAATTATCCAAATACCTCCAGTCATTTTTTTTAGTATGTAGATGTTTAAAAGAGCAGATTTATCATACTTCTAGGAAGTTGTTAAAATACTGCTTCTGTGTATACAGTATGTAACTTTAAAACCGTACAGGACATCTTCATATGTGTGTCAAGGAGAACTAGAGAGACTTTCAAAGTTATTACTGATGTGTAGGCATACAGCTGCCACAGTTTTTCTGACAAGGATTTCCGTGGACTGTAGTGGCTTTGGATCAGTTGCAGGAATAGTACATGGTATGATGTTTTTTCAGAGATTTTTTTTTTTTAAGCTGGAGGATTCACAGCTCCTTTGTAATTAACACCCGAATATTGAATCATTATTAGCAGAGATCATTTCTGTGGGTCTGTTATTGTGAAACAAAATTCTGAAGTTAAAAATAAAACTAAGGCAAAATTTAAGAAGTTTAAGTATTTTGTATTTCAATAAAATCAAATATAGATATTGTTGTACTGGAATGATTTTTTGGTTTCTGTCCTAATTTGTCTTTAATTTTAGAGTATGTGAGCTTCTGCAAGGTGGAGCCATAATGAACAAATCTTACCAGCCTCATGAAGCCCATATTCCCTACCTCCTTCAACTCTTTATAGACTACAACTTATATGGAATGAATTTAATAAACCTGGCTGCTGTCAAATTCAGAAAGGCAAGGAGAAAAAGTAAGGTGTTTATTTCTTAAGACCAAATAATTGTTTTGAAGGCTAAAAGCTACTGTTTTGAACAAAATGTCACTAGCTGTCAGACTTCTGCTGTAGTTCATGGCTGAATGGGTATCACGTGTTGTTTCCCTATAGCTTGCTTTCTGTGTCAAAACAAAGTCTGTGTGTAGCTTTCTATTTTTCCTTTTTGTGCCTGTGTATTGGGACTGAGGAAGAGTCTGCTTCCTGAAATGAGATGTTATATATCAAGAAACGTGTGTTCTGTCAGCAGTACAGCAGTGACCATTTTCACAAGATGGCTACACCTCTTTTCATGTTAGAAGATTAAAAATAGTTGATATTTAGTTGAAGAATTTCGGTGAAAGATAGCATACTAATACTATTATTTTAATTTTTTTATATTTGTTTTTGATCCCTATATCAATTATAATTAATTTTTTTGCTGCAGTAGTGTCTTTACAAAATTATGGCTAACGATTATGCTCTGCTGACAAATAATGTTTTTAATTAAAATGCTTGTGTTTGTACTAAGGTCATTTGCTCTAAGGTGAAATTTGAAATATAAATGTCTGAGCTGAGGAGGTATTTTAAATTTTCATTTTAAAAAAATTAGTTTAGCATTTTGATGTACACACTTAAATAAAAATTAAGTTAGGCAAGAACATCCATAATGTTATCTAAATGCTTCAGTATAAAGGGAAGATAACAGTACGAAAACCATAATGTCTTTGGTACTTAACACTTAGAAAAATAAGTATTGTTTACTTAAATCATAATTGTTCCTACAGCTAACACAAGAGTTGAAAAGAATAGTAAAGTATCTTTCTGTAAAAACAGCAAGTAAGAATCATGCTGACTTTAATTTTGTCCCATTATTTTTATGCATGTATATTCAGACAGTAGATTAGTGTATGAGGTTTCATAACTGATTCTCATATAAAGCAAAATATTCTTTTCATACTCAACAATAGGCCACACTTTTTGTTGCAGTCAGAACTGTAGGAAGACAAAAGCTCAGCCACAGACAGAGGATCTTCAGTCCTGAGGAAGTATAGTCAGGTAGCTTTAGTCTTCCAAACATCCAAAGCGGCCTTCTGGAGACATGCAATGTGATTGTATCATATAGTTGCTCCCATTCTTTTTCCATAGCTCTCTTCCCTCTCTCTTTCAGATGATAGATGAAAGACATAAGCTATTTATATTCTCCTTCATCATTTATTTAAGGATGGAGAGACCTAGGTCTTGAATGGGAGGAAGAGAGTGAAAGAGGAGCATGGGCTGAGACCAGTGGACTCTATTCTGGTAGGGGAGAATCCAATAGGATAAAAGCAAGAAAATGACAGACTACCTTGTCCTGGCTTGATCAGATAATGGCAGCAGTGCTCCCAGCAAGATTCATACCGTTTTGCTTGGCTCCACATCACACGTATAAGTAGCCTGCCTCAGTCTGTTGCAGTCCCCAGGCGCAGGATCACTATCTACTACTCCTAGCATAGCAGCTGGGCAACAAATGTTTTGTCCCTGGCACAACCTTGTAGAAGCAGTGCTGTCAAGAGGCCAGTCCTTGCACAGCAGCCCTGAGAAGCGCCATCCTTTCTAAGCTCAGACCTGTTGGAGTGGTGTAGAAGGTACAGCCTCTGCTTATGACTGACACACTTACCTACCTGTTCCACAGCTTCTTGTCTTGGGGGTTTGCATTCATTTTAGTCAAGTGTAGTTTGTGCCGTGCAGGCCAGGCTGAACATTGTTTCTTAGATGGTAGTAAAAGCCTTTGCCTAAAGATGTGCAGCAAACACTTATTTTTCTTCCCTTGCAGATGACGATATAAAAATCGGTCTGGCAAGGAATAGAAAATTCAATAATAGATCTGTTCCTAAATATAAGTAAGCAGCCTCAGGAGCCTGTTTCCAGTGGTATTTTTCTCACTGAGATAAGTAGACTGTTTTGAAGGCTGAGAGAGGTTAGCAGGCAAATTTGTAGTAGCAAGAATATTCTGCCTTCATCAGCCTGTATCCAGAAGATGCAGGAGTTTGTTTTTTCAGGTTCTTCTCTTTATGGATGGTGAGGAAGAAGGCTGCAAATTCATTCGTGCACCACATGCCACTAAAACTATTACAAAACATTTATTTTCAGTAGTCGAATCTTCTTCTGTAATATGAGTCTGAAAGACCTTGATGTGTCTCTACTTCTGTCTTTAAAGATCTTCATGTCAAGAAAAGGGGAATATTGAGTGTCCTTAAATCTCTATCCCTATAAGTAACTTTTCCTGTATCTGTATCTTTCCTGTAGCTGTTTCTTCAGAATTTGAGCCTTGATTTTTAGAAGTATTTGAAAGTAGCGTTCATAGGGAATAAGAAAGGGAGTGATGCACTGAAACTGCTCTAGTGTGGTGTTTGAAATGCATATGATTTTTAGAAATAATAGTGTATGTTTTACCGGTTGGCCTATAAACTTGCATAGCTACTGTGATGTATTTTCCTTTAAAATATACAGATGTTCAGTCCCATTTCATCAACTCAGAATAGAAAAATGCAGATGAAAAATAACAAGAGATGTGTCCATGCATAGTCAGCTTGCATTTTAATACGGAGAATTAGCTGATATGCCACACAGTAAAAACATGGCTGTATGTCTTCCTGGACCAGCTCTGCCCAGGGGCAAGTTGTCACTTTTGAACACCACAGACACTAAGCTACACTAGGTTTGAGCTGGGTCTGTGCAAACAGGATCAGATATTTTGTGTTGTCTTTCTGGAATCACCTGCTTAGGCATCGCTGTGGATAGACCATCTTAGTGCAGGTGTGGCTGAATGTGAGCTAGCCCCTGCATAAACACAAGCATGTCTTTTCACCACACTTGAGTGCCACGTTTCCTGTGTGAGTTTAGTGTCTGTGTGCCATGTCAGTGCGCTCAGGAGTCTGATGTAGGGGCAAGGTTTGCAGGAACTAGTCTGGGTGCAGTAAGATTGGTCTGGAACATTTTTAATTAAGCCTGCTGGATTTCAGTTGCTTCTATTTGTAGCTTCTCAGGCACTTTGGCATGGTGTTTCCCAGTTGCTTCTGTAGTAACTAAATTATTCAGGGCTTTTTGCTATGTGAGATATCCCTATCCCTGCTATTCCAAGTAGTGGAATTCACATTGGCAAGACTCTGTTATGAGATCTACTTTAAAATTATAGAATAAAATACATGCTCTAATAAATATTTATTTATTGAAGGCCTCCGACAACTGAATTGTTCAATTAGTGTACCTTTAACAAATGCAAAGTGTTTGCTATTGCTGAAAGTCAATTTTAATACAAAGAAACCTGCTAGTATGTGACACCAACATAGCTGAGAAAATTCAAGATTCAAGCTGGTCTTTCACAGAAGTGAGAGACTGAGTAATTTTCAAGGTCTTCTCCCATTCCGCCTCGCCCTGGAACTTCATTCCTGGGCTTTTTTCTTTCTTGTACTACATCCTGTGTATATTGTCACTCCTTCCTCTGAAGAGTGAAGGTTCAGGAGACCACAAGGGAGGCAGTAAATCTTCAGAGGGGACTTCTCTAGCATTACTTTGGAGCACACATCCTTACACCGAGACCTCTGAGCAAACTTACACGGTGTTTTCTTTATTTGTAGGTCAGACAACATCTGCTTTCATTGCAGGTTTCTACTTACTGCTACTGCCACTGCATCTGGAATATATTGTGTATTCTCTTTCAGTTCACAGATAAGAAAGAGGAAAAGTGTGAAGTACAATTTAGTGTTTTCTTTGGCTTGTCATTTCCACTGGGATCTGACCTGAGGACCCAGACACTTGAGAATTCTGAAGTTTATATCAGACTCTGTACGATTTACTTTGAAACTTGCACAAATAGGAAAAGATTGAATTTAGGTTATGATCTGACTAGAACACAGCAAGTGTAATTCTAATAATGTCTGTGTTGAGAATATATTTTTTCTTTTTATATGTATCTACATGTTAGAAAGAAAGTCAAATCATTTAAATGATAGCATAGTTACTTTTCGAAGATGATAGGCAGTGCTATTTATTCTTTAGGAGCATTTGGACTGGTAATATTAAATAATGAATGCAGTTATATAATGATATGTGTAAAAAATATTGTTGCATAAATGAATTCATTTCTCATTCTATTTTTTTTCTAGGTGATACATCAGGTGTAAGTAAATGTCATAGAATTCATTTGCCAGAAAATTCAAACAGCGCATCTTTCATTGAGTGGGAAGAAGATGAAATACCAAGGTCAGCATGCCAAATTTTTTTTATGTATGCTGTATTTTCTTACGTACATCAACTTGTATATACTACAGGGTTCCAGTCTCTCATTTAAAGGACCCTTATATGTTTTATATGTTAAAAAAAAAAAAAGTGCTAATGTACACAGACTATCGTTATTTAGTTTCTTTGTATAATTCTGGTCATCTGACACTTTCTGGTATATGGTTGTAAAAATCTAACTGGGAGATAACAGTAGGAATATATATGGCAAATTCAGCTTCCTGTTTTTTGGAAGATATATGTTTCTAGCTAATGACTTCTGATAAAAAGCTAAGCAAGTTTGATAGTTATAGAGAATACTTACACATCAGTTCACAGATCCTGTTTTTGTAATCACCCTTAACTAACACGAGTAGTGTGCTGTCAGAGTATTCCAATTTGTCCATTTCAAAGAGTAGCTACATAAGAATCTCAGCTTAGCATTTTCATGTCTGTCTCCCATGCTATTCCTTTTTTCTAGACATTTCCTAGTCTACAGCTTGTAATTTGTAATAGCTTTACTTCTATAAGAAAAAGAACACATCTGGGGTGTCGGTCTTTTTGGGGTCGGGATGGGGAGAGAAACAGTATCTGGTGCTACCTCGATTTTTATAGTTTACCTATAGCAAGTTCATTCTTTAAGCTACTTTCTAATGCTTGACAAATCCTGTAGATGCTCTGTCATCTAGTAGTCTTCTGAGTTTTTGGGTAATTCCTGTCATTCTTCTCTGAATAGCTTATCAGGTTCAATATGCCACACTGCTTAGTTAGCGTTCTGTACTGGGAGCGTTTGCTTCCCCAGTAGAAAGTAAGTGCTTTAAACCATACTTCAGATTTTTCTAGTGTGCAAAAACTTGAGCTTGTGCAAGGTAGCATCTGTTTTTCTGATTCTACTACTACTACTTTAAGGAGGTTTTGAAACAACATTCATCTGATGGTTGTCTTGTGATTTTACTTGGGGTCAATTCATATGCAGTTGTTCTTGGGCTATTTCTTCTCCTTTTTGGCTGCATACTTCATTCGTAGTCCATTTCAAACTCTGTTTGGCTCACTTATGTAAGCCAAGTTACTTAACCTCTTGGGGGATGGATCGTAAGTTAGACCAGGATTATCTGATGCTGCTTTACACAGATCTGGGGAAGGCAGATAAAAAGAAAGCAAAGTAGCACTTCCTGGCTGTCAAACCCAGAGAGGGATGAGCACAGCATAGCAGGAGCCAAGGGTGTCTTCTCTGCAGGCATTCATCCTCATGGCTGTATCCACAAGCCTTCTTTCCTCCTCCTTCCACCCTTTTGTGTGTACAGCCAGGGGTGCAGCACCTCACTTGTGCCAGTCCTTCTCCAGCTCTCTCACATGTTCCAGCAGTTTAATGTTAGCAGTAATGGGGCAATTACCAAGCCTGTCCATTTCCCTAGCATTCATCCTCTTTACTTTTGCCAGTAGGAACTTCTTTCTTGAACATAAAGCCTGAATACTACATAGTATACCAAACAAATTCTCTCTAGCGCCATATGCAATGATATGGGTAGTTGTCTCCCTGATACGCTTTACAGTCTCATTCACCATGCCACTTTGGCTTATAAACATTTTAGGATTTATTAGTACAAGATGTTTCTCCTCTTCCTGTTATTCCAAGTGATAATCTTCCATTTGGATTCACTTGTAAGTTCATACAGGGTCTTGCATCCCATTTTTAAATTTCATCCTGTTTCTATTATTCTACTTCTAAGTTATCCTGCTTTCGTTTTATGATACTATGATCTGGTTATGTATGCAGTATGTCTACCAGCTTGTCTTACCAGCATATTTCATTAGTACACTCCTGCATTTACTGCCAACAATATTAATGAGATGTGAAGTAAACTCAGTCCCAGAAACTGGTCTATATTCAGTTCTACGAATTTTGTATCAACCTTCAGTCTTTTTTATATAACCAATAGGAATTTCACCTTTAGCCAGCTCTTAAAATGCTTTAATAATTTAGGAACTAATTTACATCTCCTACAACTGAAATTGTTTCCCATTTGATACTGTGTCAAACATTCCTTTGTCTAGAAAATGAATTATTTTATTAAAGGTGTTCTAGCATGGCTGTCTTCCACATGCTCTTGCATGTACATGCCACTGCAAAGTAACAAACCTAAACTCTTTTCCATTCCTGATTTTACTCTGTTCTGTATCTACACAAAATTAATTGCCTGTTGTAATTTCTCCTGGATTATTTATGGCAGGCATCATCTTAAAACAGTGTTCTTGTAATCAAACCCATACTCCAGTTTGTCTCACTTTCAGATCACCTTCCTACTTTATTTCCTTTAAAATTCTGAAAATTTGCATCTAGGTTCGTTTAGTGGACCTGTAATTGTCATGATCAACCTTGCTGAGGGTAAATCTGACCCAGATAGTATATGAGATATCTATCCAAGGAAACCCTTGTAACTATTCCCTGAAATGATTGAGACTCAGATTTTTTTCCTCGCTGTTTTTATTCTTGCTGACTATGGCATGACTTGATATCTGTAAAGCTGCCCTTCTTCCTTTATTTTTGTCTTTCCTTAACATTTGGTTTCTGTGTATAGCTATATCAACAGCTATATTGATTTCTAGTTTCATGTGCAATACCCACACAGTCCCCTCACTTCGTTATCCAGTCTTCTTGAGTTCAAGTTCAGAAGTTTACCTGTTTTGTGAACTGTTTAGCAAAACATTTTTAGTTACTGTATTTCACCATCTGACTTCTATTTCCAGCAGCCTTTGGAGTTTCTCCTCTATGTCAGTACTGAACGTCTAAGTCTTTGTTTGTCCTTTATATCAGATATGAAGATCTTGTAAATCTTTCCCTACCTTTCACCTGTACACTTGTTAGTTGTTCTTTCAAGAAAAAGCAAAAGAGGAAAAGACAGTCAAATGTTGTTTGAGACTGCAAAATTTCTAGGGCTGCCTTGTATTCTTAGTGATTGAGATGTCTTTTTAGACTCATTATCCTTGGTTTTGTGTACATTGAGAATAAATTTTGGAAATAGTCCAACGTGTATCTGCCAAGTCCTTGCTGCAAGTGGCAGTTGACAAGTTCTCTGGTTTAACCAAGCAGTGCCAGTGATTTGCCATTTCTTGACTTTGGAGTAGAATATATCAAGTGGTTGAAATCCGATGCTGGATGCCTGGTAGGTAATATGCAAAATGTTACGTACTAACTTTTGAATAATGTTAGCAGCATTTTGCATGAGTAAATGCTGGTGGTGGTTCCTTATTTCAAAAAACATTTGAGAACTATGCCAAAGTTTTTTGGTGACTGAACTCACTCTTCAATACTAGATAACACCTTGCTACTCTGCCATTTCTCCAGAACAGTATTTAACCCATCCATGTCCTGCCTTGCTCCTGGCAAATCTCTGAATTACTAACTTGCAATTATAATTAGTGTACTGTATTAAGCCAGGGACAGTTCTTTAATCTAATTCTGGAGCGATTCTGTTATGAAGTAGACAAATGTCCAAAGCCACTAGTGCCCAGGAATCCCTGATATTGTAAGGCTTTTAGGTGCAATACTTGCCAGTGTTATCAGACTAGAACCTACAAAGCCCACCTTAAAATAGGCAGTAGTCACCTGAGCCTGGAAGTGCAATCCAACAGCTTTGACAAGAGGAGTTCTTCACATGAGACACATTTATGTTATCCCTCAGGCAGCTGATAATAAATGATGAAACACTTCTATGAGTTCCAGTGAGAAAACTTTCTGCTAAACATCAGGCTTGGAGTAATCTGCCGGTCAAGTCTATGACTTGGACATGATGTGTTAAAAGCAGAATGATTGGTAGAATGCTTTTGAGAAACACTTTCTTGTTTAAATCCTAGATTTGCTGTTGAATGCTAGTTTATATGAAATAGAGAGATTGGACAAATAGCACTATTGCACAGTCTAGCAGTTACGTAATGTACAGATTTTTACTAGATTTGTGGCTGTCATAATTGCTTTTCCTGCTTGTCAAGATGTACATGTTTTTGTTTAGCTATTTGATTCTTAATAAAATGTGTGCATTATTCAAGTTGCTGGAACATCCTGCAACAAAGACATGTTTTCTTCCATGAACAGAATGTGGAAAACGATTATGTCAAAGTTTAGAGTCCTTATCAATGTAGTTGAGTGCCACCTTTCAGATTCTCTGTGGGCTTAATTTTTTATCTACTACCCTCAGTTTAACATTATAAATACCTGAGATGTGGTCATCACAGAACTTGTTTCTGTAGGCTGTTATTAGTGTTTTTGAATTAAAATACTGACCTTGATGTCCATTCTTCAAGGTTTTTGAGGGTTTTGATCTAGCTAACTGTATGTAGAGGGCACTTTTTTAATTGTGTCTCCACTATTGCTTTAATTCATTGCCTCAGCGTCTGAGGAATCAAATCTTGGTACTTTCTCTGAGCACAGGTTTCATCCTACATTATCACTATTGCTGCTGCTGTTGTTGTTATGATGATGATGATGATACCAGTAGATAGTACCAACAAACTTTTACTTTCTTCAGAAATAAGGACTGTTCTTTCTGTCTGTTCTGAAAATATTTTATTTGAAGCTTTTTCTGCAAAGGTATGCTGGATTTTTATGGCAGTTTTTCAGCATGGTGTGCAGGTATAAAAGGTAACTTTAAATTAATTGGTTTGAGTATCTCAAGTAGCCTAGCCATGGCATCTCAGTGTTGTGCAACCCTGATTTATCTTGCTTCTTTGGAGAGTAAACTTTAGTCCTCTTGCAGCTGCATTGCTTCCATTCCTATGCCACCTCACTTAACCCTGCCTTTCATATATCTGTATTACAAGTTATACCTTGTGAACTATTCTATCTGCATTCTCTTTTACAAAATGAAACCTAGATGCTATGAAAAGCTTTGGCTGGGACTTGCTAAGTCATCTTTTCTAACCTTGTTCTAATACAGATATTTTCAAGTCATGGTATTGACATTACATAAAATTACCTTTTTCTTTCA